GTCACGGGGTTGAACAATATATAATAATCCTAATCTTAGTCTCTTAAACTTGCCCAACAAGCTAGATAATTATTTACTTGTCCACCAAGCAAGTAATTATTCTCTTACCAATTAACTACTAATCATAAAAGGAATAATAATAATAATAATAATAATAATAATAATAATAATAATAATAATAATAATAATAATAATAATAATAATAATAATAATAATAATAATAATAATAATCATAATAATAATCATTCTCTATCAATACCTGAGTTATGTTTGTGATTGATTCGACTTTGTGAGGCGTGGTCGACTTTACCCTCTTCGCTCGTCGACTAATGTCGACCTTAATGCTTCTTCTTCTCCCTCTTATCCTTTTACTACCGATTATTGCCTTCTGGGTTCAAGTTGGGCTCGGGCCTTTTCTCGTTCACTATCCTTTTGACCTAATCGCTTTCTTCCGAGGTCGATCTTATGGTTAGGAACTTTCGTAAGTCAACGCGTCCTAGCGCTTCGATTTTTTCTTGTACTGAACTTCATTTCTCGACTTATTCTCGTAGATTCTAGATCCAACTCTATTTCTGGCTCTATTCTTGGCTCTCTCGTCCGTCAAATAGAGGAATATTCAAGCTTTGATTCCGTTGAAATAATTGTCTCTAAGCTTGCGGTCGAACAAGAGAGGTCACAGGGCTCATCTGCCTCGACTTTTGGAGTAGACCACAACGTGTATATCCAAGCACTCTTATTTTTTTTTATATAAACATCCCAGTGTGGGATGGGAGGTTGAGGCTACACCCTTGACCTGTGAATATAAAGGCCAGAGAGGGCTAAAAAGTCAATGGTCTACATCAATGCCGAAGGTACATATAATACATCAAAAGCCGAAAAACAAAAAGGTACAAGGATCACAAAATATCCGATGTGGATCTAAAATCAAGTCCTCATAAGGTCGTCCTGGTCAGAGTAACCTGGCATGAGGTCCAAAACGACAAATCTAATCAGGGTCAGGTGGAGGCATTCGTCCGAATCTGAATGAAGGGTACTCTAGCTGGTCCATCCGAATGAGTGTCCGAAGCCGGAGGGGAATGTATTCAAGATGAAGGATGCTTCTCTGGGGTATAGAAGCTCGGAATATGTGTGAGACCTGGTAATGAATCGAGCGGAGGGTGTCTCTAATGCGCATGAGGGGATGCTGGATCTGCCATGAGCCCTGGTGGCCAGATGTCAAAAGTGTGATGACAGCTGCAGCATCCATCTCTATCCAGATATGGG